ATGCGTTTTCCACAAAGAGCTTTATCTATTAATCTTATTACATGATCTTTGGGCTTCACTTTATTAACTGAAAAAATTCCTCATAACAGCTGGCATTTGTGTCTGAAATAAAGCTCAAAGGCAAAGTTCTGGAATCTCAAAGGGTCCCATCCAGGTCCCATCCGGGTCCCACAGACCACACCTTTCCTGATGAGAAACCCAGAACTGAACTTCTGCAGCTCAGGGCCCGGGGAACAGAAATCCAGCTAAGTGATCGCACTGCTCAGAAGGGTGAGTAAGACCTGAGCTCAGCACTTTGCACAGTTTGTCAACAGCACATCTGACAGGCTGAGAACCTGCTCGTGGCTCCGTGACTCATGCCTGCTCATGTCCACCCACCCTTCCTCATGGGGCAAGGGTTTATAGGCAGTGCAAGCTCAGCCATTGTCTGGGCAAGAGTTTATCGCCACAACACAGCATCCCTGATGGTGCTCATTAGCTTAAGAATATCGACACAAAATGTTGGCCAACAGGATCTAGTCACCCAGTGACACAGCCTCAGGCTGCTAGGCTATGGCCAGGCTTGTCCATCTGGCATTTCCAAGCCTACAAGAGCTGCTCCATCCTGATTCTGAAGTCAAGGGAGGGAAAAAATGGAGTGAGACAATACATTAGAACCCAACACCCCGTTCCCTCAGATGACTGGGTGCCCATCTTGCCAGGCTTACAGGGCTGTGTGGAGACAGACAGGTTCACAGGTGGTGACAAAACAGTGTGATGCAGTACAGGAGGCAGTGAAGACAAGGTGCTTCTTATTCCCAGCACTTTCCCTTTCTGACCCAGAAATGAAACCTGTGGCTTGGCTCCCCTCTCAAGCTCCACAGTTGACAGGCCGCACAGGAGTCTCCACACCCTACCTTTCTTAGAATTTCTCTTTCATGTTTGGCTAACAGTATAAAATATACCCTTTAGTGAGTAAATGTGAAAACAGGAAAACCACAGAGAAAATTAATGAAACAAAAAGTCGCTTCTTCAAAAAAATCAATAAAATTGATAAGCCTCTAGGAAGCCTGACAAAGATAAAGAGAGAGCAGACACAAATCACCCACAACAGGAATGAAACCAGGGCCATCACTACAGACCCTGCAGCCACTTAAAAAGATAATAAGGGAGTACCACCAACAACTTTATGCTCATAAATTTGCCAACTCAGAGGAAACAGACCAATTTCTCAAAAATCACAAACCACCAAAACTCAACCAAGATGAAACAGACAACCTAATTGGCTCTACAGCCATTAAAGAAGTAGAATTTGTAATTAAAAACCTCCTGAAAAAGCAGTCTCTAGGCCCAGGTGGTTTTACTGGAGAATTCTAGCAAATAAAAAAGAATTAACAAAAATCTTATAATCTCTTCCAGGAAAAAGAAGAGGCAAGAAAACTTCCAGACTCATTTTACATGTTATTACCTTGATATCAAAATCAAACAATAAAAAGGAAAGAAGGAAGGAAAGAAAGAAAGAAGGAAGGAAGGAAGGAAAGAAGGAAGGAAAGAAAGAAAGAAGGAACTACAGACAAGTATCTCTTCTGAACTTAGATGCAAAAGATTCTCAACATCAGCAAATCGAATCCAGCAATGTCTGAAAAGAATGGCATACAACAGCCAAGCAGGATTTATTTCAGGCAAGCCAGGCTGGTTCAACATGGGAATGCCAACCAAAGTGTCCTCCCCATCAACAGAGTTACAAGTGGCATTACAGCTTCCTCTGCTTCTGACATCCACATCAGGACACAGTCAGGGCTGGGTGGGAATGCAGGCCATCATTCTGGCCAGACCCCTGCTGGTTCCACTCCAGCTCATACCCCAACGTGGGGGTGGGGCCCCTGGAAATCCCTGCTTGGATAAGGTTTGTGCTGTTCCCTGTTGTCTGTGTAGACAGCTCTGTACAAATCTAATCCACCACCCCAAAAGCCAGGACAGAGGGATGCAGGTCCATGTCCCCACAAGACCTCTTAGCACTCTGGAACCAAGTCACCTTGCACCTCTCCTACCCTCCTACCAAGCACATCAGCAGTAGCTTGGGTCACAGAAAAAAGGCTCTGCCAAATTCAGTGTGCTTTGTGAGTCCAGAAAGTATGAAGCAGCACCCATGTGAGTCCCTGAGTAGGGTAACTCCTACTCATCTCAGCTCACTCGTTCACCACATCCAGGATGAACCTCAGGGGCTTCTGGCTACATGTGAAAGCCACCCAGAAAGAGAAACTCTGCAAGGTCTTTGCATCGTTTTCACTTAAAATATATAAAAATCTTTAGTTTTACTGTAAAACTTCCTGATTCAGCTCCTTTTTACAATAAAGCTTCCCTTAAATGCTTTGAGGTCAACTTGGAACACCCCCAAATCAAATCAAGTTCAACTGGCTCTGAAATTGTGAGTCAGGGGGTTGTCATCTAATCCCAGCCCTGGCTGGTTCAGCGCATACGTGCAGGTCTGCACAGACCAAGGAGTGGCTCTGGAGAAGCGTTCTCACCTTTCCTGACTCTCAATACCTAAAGTGGAAACAGACTCCAAGCAGAAGATTTTCTTTCAAGAAATTCATGCAATACAGTCAAGAATCCTTAAACCAGCCCACCTAATGGGGAGGCGGAGGCTGGTAGGGAAATGTGCCTTTTGTGTCTCTGCTGGGGTCCATACTGGCTGTAGGCTCAGCAGGAGTGCACAAGGGGAAAGCTTCTCTCTGAGGATGGCTGTAGCTCTGCCACGTTGTCCTGTCCGAGAGCCTAAGGAAAGCAGGGCCTGTGTGTGAACATTCAGAGGCCCACACCAGTGGCTTCTCTTTCATGAGAAGCAACTACTTTGGGAACAGGCATACATCTGGTGTGCTAGGGGCCCTCCTGTGTCTGGGTGGCCAACAAAATAGTGGCCTGTGACAGTGATGGTAAAAGCAGGTACAATATTAGCAGTCCCACCTTCCTTCCATATTCTCTCCGCGAGCCCCACCCCACACGGGAAACACTTGCTGTCACTGAAAGTCTCCCTGGCAGAGCTCAAGGATGCCCCACGGCTCTTCCCATCCCATCCTCACCCCAACCTAGACAGACGGACCTGCGGTGTCTAGATCAGCGTTCATTTTCACTGTCTGTACATAATCTTTATGTTTTTAAAGGGAATTATCTTCTAGACTTTCACCAAAGGCAGTTCTTTGGGTTCTATTCACATCTTAATCTTCTTGTTTCTCGTTTCTGTTGTCTCTTCTCATTTGGTCACATTCACACTGTATCCTTATGGATCATAGCACTCAGTTCCTATGGGAACTTCAGGCATGTGAGTCCCACAGCAGCCAGTATAGAGACACATGCAGGATTCTCTTTCTCAGAAGGTGTGTCATCCCTGAAAACAAGGAGTGACAATATTCTGCCAGTCAATAACATGATTACACTCAGTGTGCCATTAGCTCCTGGAGATAGGACAGTCAAAAGAAGGGTGGGCAAAACGCAGCAATAAGAACTTCCGACGCAGCCAAATTCCATGATGGCTCCACTTCCCTACCTCTCCAACCAGTGCAGGAGGACACCAGAAACCTCTGTGGCTCTTCCCAGCTTGGAGCTTCCAAACTGCAGCCAGTCCCACTTTGTGTCAAAACAGAGAGAATTCTTTGTGCATGACTTCCACCCAGCTCCTTTAACCAGACTCTCCAAGTTTTTCCTACAGTTGGCTTACATCTTTCAGATTGGAGGGAACAAGATTTAACTCAGAACTTTCCTTTCTACCTTGGGGACACAAAGATATCTTACAAATAAATGTAAAAACTACCTTAAAACCTCCTACAACATTGTACTACAATGCTGAAGATTTCTTGTTCCCCTACTCTAGACAAATATTTTAAATGATCTCCAAGGGGGTACTTTTAGTTTAGTGTTTCTTTCAAATACCCTACCACTGACTGATGTTCAGAAACAAGTCTACAATTACTAGAAATTAAAATTGTGAACTTTGTGGAAATCCCAGCACTGTGGTGAAGATATAAGAGCATTAACTGGATTTAAATGAAGAGGACTAAGAGTTGCATCTGTCATGTGGCAAATGCACTGGGCAGTCAGGTCAGATGACGAACCTCACAGGGCTGTGACCAAACGCCAGAACTGGGAAGCAGAAGGATCACGTACATCATGCGCTGGGGAGCTGTGACACAATGCCCACAGGCCGGCTTCCTTGTTCCTGTCTCAGGATAGAACCGGCAGGCCTGCACTCCGAGTCAAATGTGGGCCCATGGCAGGTGCAGACGAGTCAGCCGGGCTTCACCTCCCTGCCTTCTGCAACATGAGTGTGGTAGAGCTGTCCCCCACTGGAGCCCCAGATCCCAACCTTCCACTCGAAGTCCTGCCATACACCAGGACCCGCACAAATACAGATGGCAGTGTGTGCAGCAAGGCAACATTTGATTGAGGTCATGTGTAAAATCCTTTAATTAAAGGATTCCGTTAAAAACACAGATATAAATAATACAGTGTTTATATGTAAGGCAAGCCTATTACTAACAAGTTTAAGGCTTATCCATTGTGTTTCCCTCAAGCTCTTGAAATAAATTGGCTTCCTTTTACAAGATATAAGTATACTTTACTCAAAATATAATTGTCCTCCCTTCTGAAAAATTATAACACTGGGGTGAAGAGGAATCTGAGGCTGTGGGAAAATGCAGCATGTCACCCAGTGACAATGAATGACACGTAAGGACAGGAAATAGTCTATCCTCATGTTGATGTCAGATGAACCCCTGTAACAAAGCATCTCTGAAACGAAGACTTGCTATGCTGATGTTTTGTTTTCATTGCATTTTCACTGAACCTGAGAGAAAAGCTTGTACTCAGTCTCCAGAAAGAGTGAGGACCCAGAGGTCTGACTTACCTGCCTGGAACCCCAGGAAGCTGCTTTTGCCGCCACTCATCCCCACTTCCGCCTCCGCTCATCCCCACTTCCGCCCTCCGCTCAAACTAGCCCCACCCGGATGGCGCAGCCCGGGTACCTGCACCAGCCTCCAGGCCTCACTGATGACCGCATACTGCAGGCGATTCAGGGCGAAGCCATCAATCTCCTTCAGGACCCTGACAGGGGACTGTCCGATCTTCTGCATCAGGGCATGGGTCCGGTCCACCGTCGCAGGGGCCGTCTCCGGGTGTGGAACCAGCTCAACCAACGGCACGTAATAAGGCGGATTTACCTTATGAGAGAGACAGGAGGGCAGAGAGTCAGCAGACAGCTGGAGTTCTTGAAGATTCCCAGAGAGAATTATTGGATGTTTGCACACAGCGCCCTTGGCATAACCCGACTGGTCTCACGCGCCCTTCAGTAAACTCTTCCCCAAATGCAGCTTGGCAGCTGTTTTTCCTCCATACGTGGGTGAAAGGTGGTAGGACCTCACGGTTACTAAATAACCATGAGAAGCATCCATTTTAAAATGACTCCTACAGAAAAGGAAAAGAAAACGTATTTCTCCTAAGACACTGCATAGGAGAGGCGGCTGGTCCTCACACAGCTACGTTTCAGAGGCTCCTCCTGCTATCTGCCTGTCCTATCTCACTCGCCATCCTCTTAGAAAGCAAGAGAGGATGGCACCTGTTTTCAAATAAATTATAAATCAATGAGTCACTTGTCTCCTGCCTTAATCATCGAATTCTAAAAACGTTTCACTGCTGGCCTTTTTAAAGATCAGAATAACAGGAACTGGAAGTGTGTCTCTCTGTCTCAGATGAACTTTATCTCACCATACACTATACAGGATGCTGGGCTCAGGCTCTCTTCACTATAAGCTTCATGGGTAGCAAAACACAGATGCAAACAGACAGAAAGCATTTTTACATACAAATTGCTAGTTCCCCCTGTCTGCGTTTTCCTCGAAGGCTCTCCTGCCTATGCTTTCCCTGCACATAGTGGTGGTGCTCCAGGCTGCACCTTTGGCCTTCCTCTGTGCCCAGGCTCCCTGAGAGGGCTCATCAGCTCCCACAGCGTTAGCACCACCAAGATGCTGAGACTTCACACGGAGCACATGTCCTACGGCAGGCCCACATTTGTAACTGTGCCCTGGACACTTTCCCTCAGACATCCCACAGGCATGCCCACCACCTGTCATACATTAAACTCACGTCTCTCCCACCCAACATAGGTTCCTCATCCTAGCACCCCTTCTTGATGAGAACACCCAAGTTAGTACCACAAGAAGCATGCTTGATCTCTGCCTCTTCCTCACCTCCCCAGCTTCCCATCAGTGACCAAAGTCCTATGAATTATATTCGCATCTCTCAAAAAACCTATTCTCTCTGCCACATGCTTAGCTCAGGCCATCACTTCCAACTTGGGTTCTGCATTCTCCTCACTGGCCTCCCCCTGTATGCTCACCCTCTCTGCCACTGGCAGGGTGATCCTTTGTAAGGCGGGGCTGTCAAATCCACAGAGACAGAAAGGAGAATGGTGGGAGCCAAGGGCTAGGGGAGGGGACTAGGGAGCTGTTGTTTAATGGAGACATCTTGCAGTTTTGCAAGATGAAAAGAGTTCTGGAGACGGACAGTGGTGATGGTTGTACATCCGTGTGTACTTAATGTCACTGAACTCTACACTTAAAAATGGTTAAAATGATAAATGTCGTGTGTATTTTATTACAATTAAATATTTTTAAAAAATTAACAAGAGGACACTGATCACACCACCTCCAGCTTGGAGTCCTGCAGCAATCTCCCCCCCCCCACCACCACACACACACAACCCACCCACTCTAAAAGGCACAGCTGTATGATTTGGTGCCTTGAACTCCCTAAAACACATTAGTTTTCATGTGCCTGTGTCCACCCGGTCAAGCTGATAGGCTGCTGGGAAGGTGCCTGAGGGCTTGCATGGGGTCGTCTGCCACAGCACCTCATCCTGTGACCAGAAAATCTATCCCTATTCCAGGCTCAGAGAAGGTCCTGACAATCATGGCAGCTACCCATTAAATTTAACTGGCAGAGAAATGAGAAGAGGGGAAGGGAGAGGAAACAAAACCAAAGTGAGTGGCTCTACTAAGGAGGGAAGAATGGCTGTTTCCTGAAATGCTCTTCCTTTTGTGACAGGGATGCAGGACAGGACTTCTGCTGTCGGTCTATGAGGAAGATAGAGAAATAGGCCCGCAAGAAATGGGGAAAACAAAGGAAAGGAGAAAACAATTTTTTTAAAGGTTAAGCACTGGTCCCTGAGCCTCATGGGGAGGGGGCTGAGCCCTGTTGGAGGCACAAGAGGGGACCGTGGCCCCAGCTCTTTGAGAGCTCAGGTTGAGCTGGGCTGCACAAGGGGCCTTCTCCATTCACCGCGTGAAAAGCCTGCCTGAATCTGGAACGGAGCGGAGGCATGTGATCAGGAGATAGCGCAGCCCCGACACAGAGGCTGTTTATTCTCTCTGCAGCAGATGAAAGGAAGCTGACCTCACAGAGGAAAGGCAGACTGCGCCTTCCCAGAAGATGCTGCAGTGACCCGCAGTCCACTCCCAGCCCTGGGCTGGGGGCATTCCTGTCTGGGTGGACAGGGCTGTACAGCTGGCTCAGAGGATTTCATCTCTCGGTATTTTGATCATTTCCATAGTAAAGTCCTTTCATAAGTGACAAGCCCCCACCTTCTGAACTTGCCCTCCACAGAGTAGAAAAATATAAGCAGCCCCTCTGACCAGGGAGCTGGCACTCTGCAACAGGCAGCGCTGTGCAGTGTGGGGGACACACAGACATGCGCACTTTCCAGACACAGCAAACCTGGAAATGAGCCGTTCAAGTGACTACCCACAGGAGGGCAAGTGGTCTCAGGGTCAGGTGGGAGAGCGCGGCAGGGAAGGCGCATGCATGGCAGGGCACGCTGGGCTGCAGTGCTCAGGGCCCCATGCAGGCTGGTCTGACTTACTCTCAGCCATGGTGGAGCTCCGCAACCCAGTGGTACCTATATCAGAGCTGTGTCCACTCAGGGCCGAAATCCCTGTGGGTTGACCCACATCCTTACCCAGCAGCCTCATCTCTGGAGCATCTGTAAGAGGCAGAGATATGCCAAGAGCAGGGGATGCACTAAAGATGGTCCATCAGCTCCATCAAACCACCACATCCCCAGCGGAAATAAGGAAGGACAGAGAGGGAACAACTTGGTAAAGTGCGGTGAAACCACCAGTGGAAATCTGCACGGTTTGGATGGACAGCTGACAGAGATTCTACACACCAAGAGAGACTGCACCAAACTTGACCTTCAGACACTCACCGCAAACACGGCCCCACGGCCAAATGCCATCCCCAAGCCCTCTACACCTCTGCAGGGAGACAGGCAGAAGAGGACATACAGCATAAAAACATCTGAGAGGAAGAATGTCGGGTACACGGAGAACAGCTGTATCGTCACCCCTCTTGCTGCGCCTGTCACTTTTTCTGTCTTTAGTGTATGAAGCCCACTCTCAAATTCCATTTCAACCCCCTGGGTGCTGAGAGAGCACACTCACCCACCAGTGCTCAGACACCCACCGGAAAGGTACCCAAGAGAGCATATGTGAAGCCAAAAAGGGCTGGCAGTTGGCCCTTCTGTGCAAGGGTGGAGATGGCAAACTTTCAGGGCACTAATAGGCTACCCTTCCTTTATCGTTTATCCTATTTTCTGTCCAGGCAGAGGATTCCAGTGACTGGGGGTTGAGCTGAGGGCAGTGGCATGTGAACTGACATGCTGAGCCTCTCCTATGGCCTGCAGGTCTGAACAGAAAACCCTGCAGTTCCTCAAAGATTACCAAGGCTCTGGATTATGTAGGGAGTGCCTGGTCAGTTCAGATTGAATTGTCCAAGATGCTTTTTGTCCTTTCCGGAGGTCAGTGAAATGATCAAAAGGTGGGTGACAGAAGAAAAAAGGGATAAAATTCCAAAAACAGTCAACCTGGATGATTTGCTTGGTTTGGGTTTAAAGGAATTTATAAAAGTAATGAGACATTAATTTTTATAATTAGGCCTGGGCTGACTTTGCTTATGTTGCTTGTCATTGATTAAGTAAGTAAAAGTGAGCAGTACTGTAGGGGTATGAGCGAGAGAAACATCATTGTTCCTCAATTGTTACTGACTGAGCTACTAGTAAGAGTGGTGGTGCAACACAGAAGGATGTGAGTAAGGCGTGGTCTTGCCCATCAGACAGTTTAAAATTGAAGAGATGTGCTAAAAGTCTTTTCTTAATTAATTAATTATAGTTGGTATACAATGTTTATTAGTTTCAGATGTATAATATAGTGATTTCACATTTTTATACCTTACAATGTGATCACCCCCCTAAGTCTAGTAACCATCTGTCACGTGCACACTTATCACAATATTATTTACTATATTCCCCTTCACCTGTTTCATCCAACCCTCCACTTTCCTTCTCCTCTGGCAACCATTGGTTTCTTCTCTGTATCTGTGAATTTGTTTCTGTTTCATTCATTTATTTAGTTTTTTAGATTCCACTTATAAGTAAAATCCTATGGTATTTGTCTTTCTGTCTGGCTTATGTCACTTAGCATAATACCCTCTAAGTCCATCCACGTTGTTGCAGATGACAAGATTTCATTCTTTTTTATGACTGAGTGGTATTCCATTGTATACATGTACCACCTCTTCTTTATCCAGTTGTCTATTGATGGGCACTTGGGTTGCTTCCATATCTTGGCTATTGTAAATAATGCTGCAATGAACATTGCATATATCTTTTTGTATTAGTGTTTTTGTTTTCTTTAGATAAATACCCAGACGTGGAATTGCTGGGTCATAAGGTAGTTTTATTTTTAATTTTTTGAGGAACCTCCACACTGTTTTCCATAGTGGTTGCACCAATTTACATTCCCACCAACAGTGCACAAGGGTTCCCTTTTCTTCATACCCTTCCCAACACTTGTTGTTTGTTGACTTTTTGATAATCCTGACTGGTGTGAGGTGGTTTTGTTTTGCATTTCCCTGAGAGCAAAAGTCTTATCAAAGGACTTAGGAGACATTTTCTGAACAATTTGATTTGTTTTCTAAATTGCCTTAGAAGTAAAAACAGTGGTTAGAAATTGGAAGTTTTCAAGCAAGAGGCTTCCACCTTCACCAAAGCAATTGAGTAACAATCTACAATAGTAAGTAGTTTACCATTTCTAAGGGTCCTTTTTATGGACGTGAAAATTTCACAGAAGCAAAGACATAACATGCTTCATGGGATATGGTATTTGGGTGCTTCAACTAAGGTTAGAAAACTCTTGGTGCTAATTTCACCTGTATTTGAATATTTGAGGGGTAACCAAATGTGATTGGCTTTCTTCTATATTCTATGGGTTGAAGTTGCCTATTTCATAACCTTCCTTCACACTTTCCATTATACTTCAGTGTGAGGACACCCAGACATCCAGAACCACGGAGTTCTGTAAGTCCAAGCTGTCGCTCCTTGCAGAAAATAAAATCTAGCCCGCATCCATGACTCACCTTTTTCCTTTACCTCCCCGAGCAAGCTGGGACCTCCCGACTCCAAACTACTCTTGCTCAGAAAGAGGAAGTTCCCTGCTCTCTGTTCTAGGGTCCTCAGCCTCACCTGGGACCTGGTAATTCATACATGGACTCCTGCCCCAAGTTCTGTGGAGAAGCTGCCCTCCCCCCGAGCTACCCTCAGACTATCCTCCAAAGACAGCATTTCCTTCGCATCACCAAGCTGCTTTGTACCTGAGCCAGTCCCAATTCTTTAGAGTATCTCTGATCCTCCACAACCCAAGTCTAACCAAGCCTTCCAGTTTCCCCTTCCTGCTTGCCAAGTATGTGTGCTCTTCCAGTCTGGCTGGTCCTCTCACGGTTCTGCACACCCCATGTTTGTTCTTGGCCCAGGGACTTTCTCATACTTCTTCCCAGCCTCAAACACTCTCCTCCCTCATCAGCCCAACCAGAGCCTATCTGGTCTGCCCAGCTTCTTGGTGTAGCCTCTCCCCAGACTCAACCGCCAATGGCCTGGTGATGCTAAGGGTGTGGTCATCATCATATACTGTCAGGCTTAGAAGCTAAGCTAGCTTTTCTGTTCCAACAGACCATCCAGTTCTGCAAGGGCAGGCTGAGCTCACAGTTGGTACTCAAGCGTCCACCCAGTGATCCATGACTCTAATTCCTCTCTTTTCTAATTCCCCTTTCCTCACATTAACACAGTCATCTCAAGAAGATTTATTGAGAGTTTGCATGCCAGTTTTAAACTCATTGTCCAATAAGCCTCACAATGCACACCTAGTGAATGAGTCTGCCCACTTCACTACAACGGACGGTGGGCAGACGAGAAGGAGGATCTCAAGAGTGGGACTTAGAATCTGTATTTTAGCAACACCCTACTAAGTAAACTACACAGTACAAGTGACAGATCTATAAAATCTTACTTGGTGTACACATTTTTTTAATGTAGCACTTTTTCCTCAGTAGAGGAATTATTTGTTTAGTATTCTCTCTTTCCTCAGCTAGACAGAGAGCTACTTGAGGGCAAAAGTCTGTAAGGATTGTTGTATCATTACGCATTAGACATACAGAGACAATTCAAAATTTTTTGGATAAAGTTCTTTTAAAGAATGCTCGTTTTGCACACCTCTCTAAATACACCAAAAACCATTACATTCTACAATTTGAATTGTGTGGTATATGAATTATATCTCAACAAAGCAGTTAAAATATACCAGTGAATTAATCAAAGTGTATTGCTCCCAGAAACCAGAATGATATGCAGGTTGAACACACTCACTGGATGAGCCACAACACACTGCTTCACGTGTGCCAGCCCGGAGAACAGCCTGGAAGGCAGGAGGCACGAGGTGGAGCTGCTGAGGACCACATCATCACCCACGATTCCATCTAACTGAGCAAAAATCTTCTTCTTCACTTCTAGGTTTTCTGGAACACATTCCTGGGAGGGATATATTCAAATCATGTGATCATTGCACTCAAACCTCGAGCAAAGCATCTTATGTTTGATTCACTCCTAAATTGAACCAATCAGAAAACCACCAGCAAAATTTAAGAAAAAAACAAAAAGCTGCTCAAAAATATGATAAATCTTGATAACTCTGGAAACTGGGTAATGCACACAGGGGAGTTGTATAAATACCCAGCAATACCACATCTGGGTATTTATCCTAAAAAAGCCAAAACACTAATTTTTCAAGACATATGCACCCCTGTGTTCATTGCAACATTATTTACAATCACCAAGATATGGAAGCAAGCTAGGTGTCCATCAATAGACAATTGAATAAAGAAAAGGTGGTTTATATACAACATATTACTCAGTCATAAAAAGAATGAAATCTTGTCATTTGCATCAACTTGGATGGAACTAGAGGGAATTATACTAAGTGAGATAAGCCAGAAGGAAAAAGACATAAACCATATGATCTCACTTATAAGTGAAATCTAAAGAACAAAATAAAGAAATAAAACAGAAACAAACTCATAGATACAGAGAACAAATTGATAGATGTTAGGTGGGAGATGGGTTGGGGGGCTGAGTGAAAAAGGGGGAGGGATTAAGAAGTACAAATTGGCAGTTACAAAATAGTCACGGGGATGTAAAGTACAGCTTTGGGAATATAGTCAATACTATTCTAATAACTACATATGGTGCCAGGTGGGTACAAAACTTAACGGGGTGATCACTTCTTAAGGTGTATAAATGTCTAACCACTATGTTGTACACCTAAAACTAATATAATATTGTACATCAACTGTAACTGAAAAATAAATTTTACACAATGAAAATTCTCGTAGTAAAAAAAACATCCAATTACATGGGGGTGGAGTCTACAGATAGAATACACTCAGCACCTCAGACAAAGTGCTGTGAACATCAGCAGTGTCATCACCACCTTTTCCCCTGTTATTCTGACCATTAGATCAACTTACCATCAAGGAAAAATTTCATCTTTGGGAAATGAACAAACATATTACAGCCATAATTCCCAAAAGGTTTCTTAAGCATCCATTTCTCATTGGAAACCCTTTAGAAAAATAACTTTGTTTCTAAAAATGTAAAATTACTTGAGTAGAGGTAGGGGAGGAGGATAGAGATGCAAATTTGGATTAAATACTGCACACAAAAACCGCGCTGAAATTCTCATGTGTGAAGTTGGAGTGGGGGCGAGGTGACACCCCACGCCAGCCCCCAGGTGAGGCATGTTTCTGGGAATGTGATGCCTGTGGTGGGTATTCACTGCTCAACCCTGCAAATCCTCGAGATGGCCTTCCCCTCCTGCCACCACCAGCTTTGGGAAGTCACGTGGGGTCCACTGCATCCAAGGGGGTCCCGGCTCACCTGGAGGCAACAGGCCCTGCAGGGGAGGCATCACAATTCCCAACATCCCCTGGTGAATTTAAGATCGCGGTTCTCAGTATGGTCCGATACCCATCAGCATAAAAATCAATGGGGTGCTTGTTAAAAATGCAAATTCTCAGGCCCCATCCCAGACCCAGATCAGAGCCTCTGGTGCTGGGGTCTAGGCATGTGCGTTTTTATCAAACATTCTGATGATGTTTGTTCCTACTAAAGTTTGAAAGCCACCATTCTAAGGTGTAGGTCCAAAGTGTGGTGTGCTACTAAATACATCCTCAGGCCTCTCTCCTCCCAAATGTCAGAGCTCTCTCCTTCCCCTATCCCCCAAGGGACCAAGATGATTAGTCTTCAGTACTGGGAATAGTATCAACACCAGCAAGTACCCAGAAGGTGTAGAAGTGGAAGTACTAATAGGAATTGTACCAAAATCATTCCTCAAAAATAAAGAAAATATTTTCAGGACTGATTTAATAATATCTAATAGTTAATAATAATATCCAATATTTTGAAATCAGCTGTGTAAATATTGAGACATGAATTCCATTTCTATATCACCTACAAGATTTGAAAATTTTGCTTGACGGGTAAGGAGTCACTATTGTGTTTGTTTATACTTTTAAAAAATATAATCAAACCATGTGAAATTTTATTAAGAACAAAAGGTCATATAAGCACCACATCTGAAAGGCAGAGGGGAAAATGGAGTCATTTAAGAACTGTAAAGCCCATTGTGTTAAATTCCCTTATCAAAAGGGAAAAAAAGCTACAGTAGCTGGCTGGTTGTATTGAGTAATTGCTGGATCAGTTAAGTCTGCGAGTTGGGTTAAGTTTAAATGGAGCCTTGTAGGAAAGCCAGAGACTAAGAATGATGCGGATACTATTTAAGGTAATAAAAGAGCCCTCGTGAATAGCCCTATTGTGAGCCTGTCATGCAGACTGTCCCCTGAAATTCTATGCCTTTCTTCAGATCATTTGATTATCAAAGAGGCAAGAAAACTTGAACCAGAGGAAACCTAAACCTGCCACAGTTGAATTATATAAGGGATTTTTAATGGCACATTTGCTTGAAGTTTTGTTGTTGTTGTTGTTTTTAAGAGGAACCCAATTGTGTTGGTTTTGCTGGGCCAGGGTTATAATGCCTCGTCCATGTCAAGCCTTGAGTTCATTTCCTCGCCATTCATTCGGAAGCCTGTGCCCTTGTCTAAGAAAGGGAGTCTGAAACACTGTTAATCAGGACCTTCATCACTTGCGGTTGATTACAAAGCTAAGAGAGGCTACAGTCATTCTCTTTGCCCTACAGGGGCTGGGAGGAAAGGCAGGGAGAGCATCAAACAATGAGACAGCTGAGAACCTAGCTGCAAAGCAGCAGTGCTCTGTAAGCCACAGCAAGAACCCACCCCACGCATTCTCAACTCTACGGTGTCCGTCAGGGGTCCTTTCTAGAGAAAGCCACCAATGTGAAGTGCTGGCAAAAACTCTATCACTATGGAAGGCAATTGGCTGGACTTGCAAAATCTGACAGCATTTTCAAAGCCACCACTGTTATTTGTTTGTGATTTGTTTGTTTTGAGGCAGGAGTGTGATAGTTTCAGGCACAACCATGACTGCGGCCTGCTCTTACTTTGACAAACCAAACGAAACTTTGGGGACAAGGAAAACACAGTATAAGTTCCCAAGTATCACAACCATTGATGGTACATCAAAAGGAGGTCACACATCTCAAGCAGCATCAGTTAAAAGGCTGGGGTAAGCCGAAACGCTCCGTTTTCCCTTCCTCCTTTCAGGAGGAAAATGAACGATGGTATCACAGGTATAAATTTAATTCTATCTAACTCACTTATGTTTTAAAAAGTAATCATTTATAAGCTTTTGTGTTTTATTACTAGTAAAATCTAATTACCTGTGACAGCCCTCATCTCATTAAGGTTATTCTTAAGAAGCAGTGTGGCCACAGCAAGTCAGCTCCCTGAATATTCCCGGAAAGGAAGTCCTGGATAAAAACTTGAGTCTGAAGTTTACCCACTTGCTGTGCAACAGTATGCATTTTCCAAAACAAATATTTTCATGGGAAAAATGAAATTTCATTGATATTTTAAAAAATCAACTCAGGCATTTTAGATAGGCGTCCTGTTGCTACAAAATCTCCATTTGCTAATGCAAAGTATCTGGGCACAATCTTCAGTGTGCTTTCAGGAAAGAAAGTAAGAAAAACTAAATTAGGAGGCTTTGGTACTTAAGGTATTTTACATGCAAAGAAGTCCTAGCAGTCAATTTTAGAGGGAAAGACACGGCAAGAAAAGAATGATGAGTGCAAATCCTGTTGTAATTATGGCAGAAAGCAATTCATTCTCAAGTTGAAGCCAGAAGTGATCTACAATGTAAAGTCTTGTCTGTTAGTACTAATTAAATCTCCTGCTTCCATCTCATTGTCGCCACCAGTCTCTCTTCACTATTTCTTCCAAAAGCACAATCGTATAAATCTATCACAATAATAGACTATGACTACACTTCTCAAGAGGTGAACATAGTAACTACAGAGAGATCGAGAGAGAGAGAGAGAGAGAGAGAGAGAGAGAGAGAGAGAGAGAAATTTTTCTCTAGAAGAAACAGTATGTTAACAAAAAAGGGAAATGATACAAGGTTTCAATATCACAGGAAATAAACTACACTATTCCCTGACCAGAGGCTCATTTTTTTTCCTTAAAAATAAAAATAAAATTGTTTTAAAAAGCATTTATTCTAAATCTAAACAAAGTCCTAAGACAGTACAGAACAAATCATACCCAATCAAGAGAAACTTTCCAAAGTGAAAATCAGTATAGACAGGACTTAGGGATGTTACTTCCTGGGGATTAAGTGTTAAGGTTAGCAGGATTATGGAGGTTTGCTTTAAATAGCAGTCCTTTACCAGGGTGACTACATGTGTCAACTGCTGTCCTGTTGATGTGTCTATTCCATCCTCATTCCAATGATTTCTACTTGTACCTTTTATGAAATCATTTATTTAGAGTTGGGTTACAATGCTTGGTGTGAAAAAAATAATACAATTGGGGTGAAGATACTGCAGTTAAGCCTGCAATTAGCAAGTAGTTTTATGGCATTTCTAAATAATATTTGTCATGAGAAGTGAGATTTTTAAATACAAAGTTTTTTATTTAACAAAGTGCTGGGAATAGCATGAAACACAAAATGGAAAGGATTAAGAAAGGCATGACGAATGAATTCTGAAGACGAAAATAGAAAATAAAGAAGTTAACGTGAAGGACATGACATCACATCAGTCACTAAGAGCACTTATTATCAGTGAGGAATATCTTTAAATTCCAGTTGACAAATGAGACTCTGAGAGAACTACATAAGTTATTTTTATGTAAGATTTTTTGGCTCTGTATTGGACCATGTGCAATGCATGTCCATCTGTGACCTCTCTGTTTCTAACGCAGCAATTCTCAAAGCAGCAGAGAACCAAGGGAGAGAGAGTCTATTTGTGAGGTCAGGGGAAAAACATGGAAATAAAGTATACTCCTCTTGTTGAGAATAATTTAACTAGACAGTTTTAGCCAAAGCATTGTGATTGC